AACTGAGTGTTAGTTATGATTTATCCAAGTTCATGTAACAAGTAAATGATGGATCTGAGAGTAGAAAAACTTGGTCTTTTCTGTTGTGATTTATTTTTTTTTCCTAGTTGTTGATGAACCTTTATTTTATTTATTTATATGTGGTACTGAGAATCAAAGCCAGTGCCTCACACATCCTAGGCAAGTGCTCTACCACTGAGCTACAAACCCAGCCCTCATAACTTAATTTTAAAAAACCTACTAGACTGCCTCAAATCAATCTGACAGTGATAATGGATAGTGAACCAGCTTAAAGGTGCTGGCTAGAAAGATGTTATAATAATCAAATTAGTAAGAGTTTTGACGGTTGTTTTCAACTGAAGACAATTTTATCACCCTTCCCCTCCCTCTCAGGCAACATCTGACAATGTCTGGAAACATTTTTGGTTATCACAGTTGGGAGTAGGATACTAGTACTAGTGGCTTTTAGTAGACAGGGATGCCAGCCCTGCTAAACATCCTATAGTGTGTAGGAAACCTCCCACATGAAAGAATTATCCAGAGAGGCAATGGGCATGAAGAGACAAGAGTGTTTCAGAAGGAAAATGGCTTGTCAACTTGGTAAATCACTATATATATAAAAAAAACAAGGTGAGTAAAAATTGTCACTGTAGCCCTGAGTAAGTAAAAGAGAAAAGTTGTTATTAAAAAATTAGTCTGGGCAAAAGAAAATATATGGCTCCCATTTCCCTAATCATCCTGGGTGTGTTTCTCTAAAGGACTCAGGAAATGGAAGGAATACTACATTTATCCTTGAAGACCTAATAATGAGGTCATGTCTCTTCCATTACCATGTAGGTAACCAAGGCAGATCAGTTTCTTTTAAGTAATAGTAACACTGTTACAAAACTCTGCTTCTGTTAATGAAGCCTGGGATCACATTAGCTTTTTTGATTGTCACGTCACAGTTCTTTACTCCTATTGAATTGCTATATACTAAAGCACTCCAAATCTTTTTTACACATAATCTTTCTCTTTTTTTTTTTGCACCAGGGATTGAACCCAGGTGTGCTTAATCACTGAGTCACTTCCTTAGTCCTTTTTATATTTTATTTAGAGACAGGGTCATCTATTTTTTAATTAAAAAATATTATTATCTATTAGTAACAGTGCTAGACAGAACCAGTGGGGTAAAAGAGGAACAAAGTAAAACCTGTTTCTGTCCTGTTGGAGCCAACAGTATACTAAGGTTGGCGTATATTAACTAAATAATCACACAGTAAGTGTAAAATTAGAAACTTAGATTGACTAGAAAAAGAAAGAGTTGTAAACTGACCTAGGCCAATTTGGTAGTCCATAATGATAAGATAATTATAGTAGCTGGACACAGTGGTGCACTTCTGTAATCCCAGCAGCTCCGGAGGCTGAGGCAGGAGGATTGGGAGTTCAACCTCAGCAATTTTGCAAGGCCCTAAGCAACTCAGTGAGACCCTGTGTCTAAATAAAATATTTTTTAAAAGGGATAGATCCAGCTGGGCTCCAATAATTAGGTTTGGGGGTCTGCAACCTCCTCCCCACCAGGCATCAGATACAGTGAAAGTCTCAGATGGATTTCTTTCACTCATATAATCTATTTATTGCTTTCCACTTCATAATTTTTGCCATGTCCAGTCAGTGAACTTTTAAATAATTTGGAAATTTAATTTAATTTGAAAAGTAACAATATTGGCCATTTGGGTATAGTATTAATAAATTATATTGCATGTATTAATAGGAACTATATAGTCATTCTCCAGTTAATGTAATACTCTCCTTTTATGAGTCCTGTTTTTGTGTTAAGGACATTTTTCTAGTTGTACTTATATAACCACATTCTTATTTAAACTTTCTCAAGTTTGCTAATGTAATTCTTTTTCTAGAGTTGAAATAAAATTCTTTTATTTGTTTCTTGTGTCCTGATAGTGATGGGTTTTACCCTTTAAAATGAATTCTATTTTTCCATATTGCTTAATCTATGAATCCGTGTATTTTTGGAAAGAAAGATGAATATGTGATAGTTACAATTAAGTTGCTCAATTCAAAGGGACCCATTAAGAATCTGAAAGCATCATAAAATGTGAACTCCATCCTAATATTTGGTCTTCTCTTAGCAGCCTATTTGAACCTTTGGCTCTAATCACTCTTCAAATTTGTTTTAATGTTACACTTATAACTTGAGGCTCTTTCTATAAAGAAGTTCCAGTGAAGTATAATAAAGTCAAATGTAAAATAAATTTATTAGTATATGTAGAGGTTCAGTTTTCAGTGTGTGCTGATCTCAATTTACCCTTTCAATGTGTGAAACAGCTTCTGGATTTATAATGGAAAATGAGGATAACTTCGGGTTTGGAGCACTGTTCTGACAGGCTACCTGTGATGGCTTATAGAATAACAACTATACAGTACAGAACACTGAGAAGTTTTGGGACTCCATTGGATACCTTGAACTTCCCCTGTTGTTATGTCTTTGCAAACATGTAGTTTCTGTCCACGCTACCCGATATGAGTTTGAATGATTCCCAGACACCTTGCAAAAACCTGGTGTTGCATTTTGCTTATCCTGAATTTGCTTTCTGTCATTTTTATTCATCTCAGTTTGGGGCCAAACCACATGTTTAATTTATTTTCTACTGTTTCAATTAAAGACAAAGCCATATCTTCTTAATGAGTGTCTGAAGTTCATGCCTTTAATTATTGCCCAATTCTTATAATTTTATAGCACAACAGATACACCTTTTGGATACTATAAAATGTCAACTCCTAAGGATTTAATATAAAGCTTTTAAATTCTCTTTTATTTTCCCTGAAAATCCTACCCTCCAGGCTTTATAGAATGTTTCCTTTCCTCAGGCAATTGAGACATTTAAAATTAAGAATATCTGCTAATTGTCATCTACCATTCATTTCAATAAGATTATTTTATTTGTGAGAGTAATCATATTGCAAATCTAAGGGAACAAATGTTTTCTTTGTGATACTGTGTAAGTTGCGATTCACCTGTTAATAGAGAAATCTGTTTCATTTTATAAAACTTAATGCTTGATCTTAAAAATTAGAAAAAAAATTGATTAGAATATAGGTATGTGCAACCACAGCAAAGAAGAAAAGAGTGTGAAGAGAGTCTATAGAAAAACCATTGCCAGTTACTCTTCTGACAGAAAATTAATATCTAGGATATGTAAAGAACTCAAAAACAACACTAAAAGAAGTAACCTGAATAATAATTAAATACACATTTCTCAAAAGAAGAAATACAAGTGGCCAACAAAACATGAAAAACTGTTCAGTATTATTAGGAATCTGAGAAATGCAAATCAAAAGTACACTGAGATTTCATCTCACTCCAGTTAGTATAGCAATCATCAAGAATACAAGTAATTGATACGTCAAAATATATTCTACTGTCATATATAACTAAAAAGAACATATAAAAACCTTTTTTTAAAAGGACACAAGTAATAATGAATACTGATGAGAATGTTGGGAAAATACTTATTCACTGTTGATAGGATTGTAAATTAGTATAATCACTATGGAAACCATAGTGGAGGTTCCTCATAAGGCCACAAATGGAATCATCATGTGACCCAGCTGTACTATTCATTGGTATTTTTCCAAGAGAATTAATACTGTAGCAATATATGCAAACCCATGTTTATAGCAACAAAATTCACAATAGCCAAATTATGAAACCAGCCTAGATGTCTGTAACAGATGAATGGATAAAGAAACTGTGGTGTATACATATAATTAAACAGGACTTTAATGTCAGGGCTGACCAAGCATATGTTCTTTCCATACACACACACACACACACACACACACACACACACACACACACAAAATGGAATTTTATTCAGTATAAAGAATTAAATTTTGTCATTTGCATGAAAATGAATGGAAGTACAGAGTACTTTGTTGAGCAAAATAAACCAGACTCAGAAAGTCAAGGGTCATATTTTCTCTGTAATATGGAGAAGTTAGAGAGGAATTTTAAAAGGACCTCATGAAGATAGAAGGAAGACCAGTAGAGTTGAAAAGGAGAATATAGAGGAAGGAGAAAGGGGAGGTACTGGGGAAAGAAATTGATCAAATTATATTATGTGCATGTACAAATATGTCACAGTGAATCCCACCAATATGTATAGTCATAGCGTAACAATACCTTTAAAAAATGTGTCTATATACATCTTAAAAATGAATATAGGTGTATACCAACCATTTCTTCTTCATTTGCAGAGGTGAGGAAAGGGAAATAGTGAGGAAAACTTATTTCCTAAACTAACTTCTTATCTTTATGAAGATCCAGATTTCATCCCTTCGTTACTTCAGTGAGGCAGGTCAAAAGGTGAAGTCATGGAGTGGGGCTGGGACTCAGTGTTAGAGCGCTTGCCTAGCACGTGTGAGGCACTGGGTTCAATTTCAGCACCACATAAAAATAAAATAAAGATTTTTTTTTTTTTTTTTTAAGGTGAAGTCATTTCTGAAAGTTTTATGGCATGAGTGCATTGCTCTGGAGAAGTTGTATCCTAGTAGCCATCACTGTAAATGTGATGAATTTTTGCTTTTAAGTGTGATTTTTCCCTTAATTTTCCTCTACTATTTAGTAAAAGTTGAGATGTCAGGTTCAAGGTATTAGAGGAAAGAAATTCTAGGATCTAAGTCTTCAGGGTGGCAAGCTTATGGCATTTGGTAGAAGCTGGTGGCTTCAACTCCTTGGAGTTAGACGGTCACTTTCTTAATACATTAGTGCTTTGTTAGGTGACCTTTTTAGTTTTTCCTTTGTAAGAAAGCCATTATTCTGAGTTGACTATTATTATGAAGATATTAGTAGATGGCAGTGAATGTACCTAAGTGATTTAGTACAATCTTGAGATATTTATGCTACATCTAAGTAACTTCAGCCTCTGTCAACAACTAGGAGGTTGTATTTACTTAGTTTTGGAAAATTCTTATCTTTACAATTTCTTTACTTTTCTTAGGTTTCCACTGTATCCAAAAGGAGGAGAGAAGTTACAATTTGATTATGGTGTCTATCTTCTGAACAAAAATATAGCACAGGTAAGCCATTCTTATTCTCTCCTTTCTGACTGCTTTGGATTGTTAACTCTCTTTATAACTAAGTATTGTGATTGACCCTTTTTAATTAACCAGTTACATTAGTAATGCCAATTTCTTTTTTGGCCACAGTCTTATTCTGTGCCTTTGTAATGAAGACACAGAATCAATGGGTACCAGTTGGAATCCTGCTAAACTCAGAAGCCCTTTTCTATGATCTTACTTGATGGTGGACTTGTACTTGAATGTGTGGACTTTATAATTTCCTGGTCTGCAGCTTGATTGGTAATAGCTTTCTTAGACCACTTCTAGGGACTCATTTTGCTTTCTTGTTTATGGAGTAAAAGTTTAGTGCCTTTGGCAAGTCCTTAATGGTCTTGTTGTGTCATACCATGTCATACTCATTATCCAGGACCCAAAGGAAAAGACCCAGCATATGTTCCTTCCAATCCATCTTGGATTTCTGTGGCTCTTTCAACAGCACATGAGTTTGTAACTTAATTGAATAATGTCTTTCCACATACCATAGTGAGACTATCAGATGCCTGAGTTTGTATTTTTTCTGAAAGAAATACGTAGCATTTCTTTAGTACACTTGGCTGTACTTCAAGAGGTAGATGTTCCATAAATTTTCTAGTAGTCAAGAAAGACCAGTTTCAGTGCTTTGTTCTCATTAGGACATCCTTCCAATTGGACTATCACATGGATGGATACCCTCAGCCTAGCTGTTATTTAGAGATATTATCAGCTATATCCTTAGACCTTTCAGTTTTGTGGAAATAATAAAATTTGTGATGCTTTTGCTTCTGTGAGCTGAAGTTACCTTTTATTCATATAAATCTAGAATCTTACTGAACAATTTCCTTGTTCATGTCTGATAAACCTAGAATTATACCTCTATATGATGCCTTTCTTCCCTCAACCAACCTTAATTTAATGTTCATTTTTTAAATCTGGTTTTTATTAAGATTGCTGTCCTCTTGAAATTGGATCAAATTTCTAGTTTGTAATCCAATTAAAATCACTTGCTTCATAACCCCATACTCAGTGTCCCTTCAGTCACACTGCTTTTACTGTTACTTTCCCTCTCACTCATGTTCCTCCCTCCAGCCACACAATCTTGTGCAGTCTCTGGCCCATGACTCACCTTTTCATGTGCTGTTCTTCCCACAAGATGCTTTCCTTTCCTCCATTTTTGGCAGATAAGTATTTCAGTCAAAGAGCAGGACTTTAATGTCAAGACTGTCTAGCTGTGCTGATCACAGTGGTGTCATACCATGGAAAAGGCAGTGCTTTGACAAACTGCTAAAGAACACGGCACTAAGGAAGATGAAGTAAATTAGTAAGTCAATTAGGCGGCACCTCCAGTGAAGTCAGTAGGTGGAAAGAGCACTTGGATGCAACAGGGTGCAGAGTCTGGGAGCAAAATTGGTGTTCTTTAGTAGAACTAAGTTCTGTTTGAGTTCAGAAGTTTTTTTCTGCCCTGTTTTCCATTTCTTGCTCTGTGCCCTTAGGTCCTTGTCCTAAGGTTGAAAGGTTGTCAGAAGCTTCCAGGTGAAACTCACCCCTACCAAAATGCCTGGATTTCCTCATAAATCCCAGCTTCATACACGCACATATGCATGCACACATGCAGACATACATACACATGCAACTACACCCTTCTTTCTTCTCAGGGCGTAGTAGGAATGCAAAGAATGGTATAGAGAGGAACTGAGAATAGCCCAGCTTGCTTTGGGAGCAAGACCAAATGGAGTCTATTTGCAATGGGAAACAGGAAGTGAGCCCTGCATACCAGACTCATGGCTCTAGTGACTGTTTGATCTCACTTGGAAGAACTTCCCAAGTAGTCTCTGACTTTCTCCTTAACTAGTCCAAAGCCACAGATATGCTCAACAAGTTTTATACATCTGTTTAAAAACTGGATTGTTTCTAGAAACTTTGAATCCTCTCCATTCTTTTTGTAAATTGAGAGATTTGAATGTGAGGGTGTTAAGATCAATAGATCAGCCACTCTGCATCATGGGAAGCAAGTATCTTTTTACCACCCTGTGGCAGTTTTAAAAGGAGGGGACAGTAAACTTCCAATTTAAATATTTGGATGGAAACTTCTGTCAAACATGTGATCTTTCAAATTTGTGACCTTGGGGAAGGCTTCTTTTTTTTTTGTCTTTAACCTTACTACCACCACTTTTTCACATTTTCATTTGTAACAAATCAAAGAACCATTAATTATTGTGACTCCTAACCAAGTGTTACAGCAATAAGATATTTCCAGCTTTTGAAGGTCTATTTATGTATACTAATGTGTATTGTCAAAGGGGAGTTTGTCTTCTCAGCCAGTTTCATTTGTACCTCATCTCTAGAGATGTGAACAAATCATACTATTAAAATGGCCCCACCTCAGTAATTTATAAGCCACTTTAGTGGAGGTGGATGAAAGCATTGGCATGTGTTAAAGTGCCAGAGAAAAAGGAGTGAAGTCATTTAATACTGCATCCATAACTTGGTCGAGGATTTGAATAGTCAATAGGGCCTTTCATCACAACCAGAAGTAGTAGTAAAATCACTTTTTGGTAGAGGAAATGACAGAATTTAGTAATATTTGTTACTTCAGTATTTGGGATCAGTCCAGCCCATGTTTTGAAAGCACAGGCTTGGAAAGACAGGCCTTCAAGTAGAAATCCTCAAGTGTTGTTTAAAGAGCAGGGAGCATTGATCAGGCCTGCTTGCCTTGTTCATGTCACTGCTGACTAAAGGTATGTATATATGTGCTGGATCAGATATTGAAAGTGAGTCAAGCAAATGCCTTGTTTTGAGCACCATTCACTAATGTGTCAAGTGCCAGCCCCTTCATTTGGAAATAGCCTTCCTTATTGGTTGACATTGTAATAATATAGAAATGATCCTGTCAAAACTCAGACATGGCATAATTAGCATTGATTCAGAAATGAGGTACTACCATAATTGTCAGTAAGCTTTTAAGCATATTGTATTAGAATTTACATATAGAACAATAGTTTGCTTTTAATTCCCAGAGCATAAAAAGTAGTATAACAAAAATTATAATCCTTTTTCCTCATAGTTAGTAAGGAATATGCATATGGCTCTATATGATCCTTATCATCACCCTGTAGAAATAAAGAACAGATAATGTTAAATGAATTTGAAGACAAATGTGGATTTGACCTCCGTCACTATAATCTAACAGGCTCAGCAAAAAAATTCCCTTACTTTTACATGCTTCATTGTTGTATATATTTCCATCCTAAATGTGTAGTTCAAAGAAGATGACATTCCCAGATAGTTCCTTAAGAACAGAGGCATTAATATACTTCATGAGACTTATAGTCAATAATATTGTATTTTTACAATTTAGTAAAAGTAGATTTTAGGTGTTGTCACCATACCAGAAAAGTTAACTGGAAAGTGACAAGTATGTAATTTGTTGTAACAATTGTATTGTGTATGTCTTTACATATGTATCAAAACATTGTGCTGTGTCTTAAATATATATAATAAAAATACATTTTTAAAATTGTTTTTTGTTTATTGAGCATGTACTATAAGCTAGCTGTGTATGCCTAATTAGGTTGTAAGACACACAAGATCCCAGATGCCTGCCTCACTGATAAGCTAGGTGCAAAGAGACAAGTATTATATGATTCCACTTACATGAAATATCTAGAGAAGACAAGAGCATACAGACAAGTAGATTAGAGTACTGGGAGAAGGAGCAAGTGGGAGAACCATTGCTTAATGGTTATAGAGTTTGAGGTGATGAAAAAGTTTAAGAAATATATGGTGATGATGTTTGCATAACATAGAGAATGTGATTAATGCCACTAAAATGGTTTAGATAATCAATAATAAATGGTTAAAATAATAAATTTTGTATTATCTATTTTACCATGATTTTTGTAATATACCAAAAGCCACTGAATTATATATGTTCGATGGGTGAATTGTATGGTATGTGAATTATGTCTCAATTAAGCTCTTATCCCTGACTTATTAAACATATAATTTAACTGGAAAAACACTAAATAATGAAAATTATTTTAGATTGCCATAAGTCCTGCAGTAGAAATTAATTGAATATAGGTCTGAAGACAGACCTACTTTAGATAAAGTTGTCAAATAAGTGTTATTGAGGAATTGACTGTTGAACATGACAGGGAACCAGCCATGTGAACAGCTAGGGAATAGAAAGTTCCCTGAGGCCACTGGAACTGCAAGGGCAAAGTCCTTGAAGTAGAAAAGGTCTTGTCAAGACACAGCAGATTTATGGACTTAATTGTAATTGAGAGGCTGAGGTAGGCAGGCAGCATATATCATCCAGAGCCTTAGAGATCAGGGAAAGAATTTTAATTTTATTCTAAATACAAATGAAACTATTGAATGAATGATTTAAATTTTCTGAGAGGAATGATTTGATTTGTGTCTTCAGATCACTCTAGTTGCTGTAGTGGATTGCAGGCAACTACAATTTAATTGAAGTTACTAGTCAGGAAGCAATTTCAGAAGATGAGAGGATTGGTGGAGATGTGGACCAGGATGGTAGAGGTAGAGATGGAGAGAAATAAGCAGATTTGAAATATATCATGGGAGATGAGCAAATGGATTGAATATGGGAGATGACAGAGAAAGGAATTATCAAAAAATGATTTCTGTTTTATATATGAGCAACTGGATGATTGTGTTTATTGAGATGAGTTCCAGAAGATGGAACTGGGGAAGAGGACATCAGAAGATCTGATTTGGAATTGTTAAACTGAGTTGACTTTTAGAAATAAATAGAATCATTAAGTGAACAACAGAATATAAGGATCTGGAGTAGGTCAGTACTAGGGTTAGAAAATTGGGAGTCATCAACCTAAGATCTTATTTAAATCCATGGAATCAAACAAGGTTAACCAGGGGTAGAATGCAGAGCTGAAGAGAGAGAGAGAGATACAGATGGATACGTACAGTGGAATTTAGCCTCACGAAATCACACATAG